TCGGCGGGAGCGCCGCCGCACTTCCCAAGCGGCGCACTACAGCAGTGCGCCACCGGGCCGGCCCATTTTTTTTTTTTTTCTGATACTGTCGTAAATGGTGGTTTTTTCCATTCAATTTTCTGATAGTTTTTGGTGTACAGAAATACAACTGATTTCTGTATATTGACCCTTTATGTTGTAAACGTACAAAACTAATTAGTTCGAGCAGCTTTTTTGTAGATTCTTGCCTTCTTGCACTGGTTAGTAGAACCTCTAGTACAATTAATAGAAGCAGAGAGCAGACATCCTTTTCTTGCTTATCTTAGGAAAAAGTATTTAATCTTTCACCATGAAGCCTAATGTTAGTTGTACATTTTTTATAGATGCCTTGATTTATCAGGTTGATAATTCCCTTCTACTCTTACTTTGTTGAAGGTTTTTATAAAGAATATGTAAGATTTTTACGTGCTTTTTCTGTGTCTACTGAGATAATTATGTGGTTTTTCTTTTTTAATTTATTGAAATGTTAAATTATGTTGATTCTTTTATTTTGTAATGTTAAACTAGTATTCATATCTGGGATGAACCACAATTGGTCATGATATATAATCAATCATTTTCATATATTATTGGATTCAATTTTATATAGTATTGGATTCAAGGAGAGAAGAAGGGTGAAGGAGAATCCTAGTAGTAGATTGGTTACCTTTTAGCATGAAATCCAGTACTAAAATCAGCATTTCACATCTGGTGTCCCACAGATATTCTCACAATACACTCTGAAAAAAATGGTCTCTTGGTCAAAGATCTCTGTGAACTACTACTTGTTATATGAATCTCTCTTAGAGTCATAGTAAATATTAGCATACTAAATGACCCATGCAGGTCTGCAATTAAAAAAAACAAAAAACACTTTATTTAACTTATTTAATCATAAAATGCTTTCTCTGTGTAATATTTTTAATTAATTTATTTATTTTTATTTTTATTTATTATTTATATATTTAATTTTATTTTACTTCTCAATATACATTGTAGTTGATTTTTATGCCCCTTTACCTGTTCCTCTCCACCCTCTCCTCTGTGTAGTATTTTCAAATATCCCACAGACTGACTGATCCAAGGAACACACTTTGAGAAATTCTGTGCTAGGTTATAATAAAGTGGTGTCACCATCCTTACTGATATGGGACAACGTCTAAGCAAATAAAATTTGAAGGAAAGAGGCCAAAGAAAAGGAAACATAAAACTCAAATAAACCTAAAGTGATTTAATCTAACAGTCTGCATAAAAGAGAAATCATTTCTACAGGATCCCAAACAGAAGGTCAAAGAGTCCATAGTCTGAAAATAAAGTTCTGTATAAAATTCTCATATTGTGTATAAGCTGACTAAGTACAATGAATAAAAGGCAATGAAATTTACTGTGCATAATATCTAACATGGTTCCATGTATCACTGGATTCTTAATGCTATTATAGAATAAGAATAGGTCAATGTTTACATTTTGATTTCATACCATTTCTTATGTCTTCAAAGACTAAAGACATTTATATTTTATCTCTTTTTACTAATCCCTTCATAAATGAGGCAAAAACACATTTTAATATATGAAATGTATTTAATATGTATTCAGTCTTCTAGATTATAAGTTCCATGTTTCAGGAAACTATCTGTATCATGTACAGCTATATTCCCAGTACGTGGGTCACTGCCTGGCAATAATAGGTGGCTGAACGAATATTGATTTAATGAATGAATGCATGCATGCCTCTCATAAAAATATCAAATAGTTATTGCTACAAATAAAGTATTAAGTCAATAATAGGAAAAACTATCATCAATTTAACAAACTTTGTAACCAATCTTCAAGCAAAAAAGGCTGCCTGAAGAAGATGCTGCCTGAATTGGCTTTTAAATAATGAATAGGAAAAGTTAACAAGGCTCAGATGAGCCAAGGGAAGTGAAAAATTCTGGACAGAGGGAAGAACACATCAAAATACTCAAAATTATACAGCACAATATCATAGAAGTAATTTAAAATTAAAGTTGGTGGGTGGTGGGAGATAGGTGGGGAGTCAGTAGCAATAGATTAGTCTAAAAACACAGATAGGTATGAGTTCATGAAAAAAACTTTTTATGATATCTACTTTATCCAGTTGTTATCAGGGAGCTAATGTTGGGTTTTCAACAGCTAAGAGACAGAAGTTCACTATTTTTGAAGGACAATCTTTCCAGCAATGTGGCAGAGCAGGGAAGGCACAACTACAAGCAAAGAGAGCAGTTAACAGGCTACTGCAGCAATCCAGACAACAGACGGTGACAGGCTACTGCAGCAATCCAGACAACAGACGGTGACAGGCTACTGCAGCAATCCAGACAACAGACGGTGAGGGTCGTCACCAGAGTCCTCCTCCTCCTCCTCTTCTAGCTTTCAACACAACTGACTGAGCCACTTTCCTGGAACGTTCTGTCATCTCACATTCTCCTAGCTTTTCTCCTATATTATAGCCACTATTTCTAAGTCTCCTTTTCTATCTAACTTATGTGCTGGGGTGCTCTACATATTCTTCTTTTACAAAAAATAAAAAATAAAGTTACATTCTCTCAACTCATCCCATCCAATCTCAAGCCATCCCATCCGGTCTCAAGTCATCCCATCTATTCAGTTGGTCCAGACCCAAATTCTCAAACCTTTGGGTCTCCAACGCTCTTTAATATCTGAGGACCCTACAACCTTTTGTTTTCTAAAGCCCTTTTGTTTGTGTGGTTTATATCTACCTATATTCCCCATATTGGGAATTAAACTAAGAAATTTTTTAAATACATACTAATTTGTTTACAAACAACAATTAATCTATTGTATGTTTAGATGTAATATACTTTCATAAAAAATAGCTACATTTTCAAAAAATTAGTTGGAAGAGAGGCATTGTTTTCACATTATGCAAATTTCTTTAATACTTCATAGAAGCAGCTTCTGCCTTCAGTCTGTTGGGATATGTTGTTTTGGTTGAGGCATATAAAAAAATCTGGCCTTACACAAAAGTATAATTGGAAAAGAGAAGAGTATTTTAATAGCCATGTCAGATCACTGTGGATATTCTTCTTTGATACTGCACCAAACTTGACAGGTGGTAGATTTCTAAAGGTTAACCGCAATATGAGCTCTCAAATCATATCAATGAACTTTTGTACTCTGTTAAAACCCAATGGTCTATCTTGCCCTTTGGATAGATCTTTTACTCATGCATGATTTTGTAACATCATACACTGGTCATCTGGAAACTTTTAGTTCACTGAGTTACTCAGATTTTCTAAATGTTGACCATTGCTTTATACCATGTAAAAAATCACATTCATTAATATCACCACTAATCGAATCAGAAAAGTCTTTAAATACCATGAAGATGTCAAGGTCATAATGATGAATATGAGTTTTCCAAAATTCTAATTTCACTTTAAAATTTCAAATTTTATCACTGGCAACAAATAATGTCAGTTGCTTTCCTTTAAATGATACGTAGTTTAAAAAAAAAAAAGTCTACAAAATACCTGTCTGAATGACCATGGTTTGTCTGTCAGTTGTTCTTTCAAATAAAGATGGTGTTCCATGAAAACAGAAGCTCCTCAGCTTGCTCTTCAAACAACTGTACAAATGCTTTTCCTCGAGACAACTTTGATTTGCTGCAGTAGTGCTCTGAGCATACTTCCCACTCCATCACACATATTAAAAGACACGTACACAAAGACTGAGATTCGATAAGAATAATACTCTTTTACAACTTCATCAAGGACATTTTTAAGTAAAACTTGCATTTTTTTTTTACCACAAGGAATAATACTCTTTTACAACTTCATCAAGGACATTTTTAAGTAAAACTTGCATTTTTTTTTTTTTTTACCACAAACGCATAGCAGGTAAAGAATACAAAGACTAGTACAGTTTGCTGCCACTGTACTGATTCAAGCTAAGGCACCAGTGGTTTTGTAAATAATATCTTAGTATTATTACAAAAATCATTTTGATCTTAAAGACCATGTGAAAGGGTCTCAAGGATCCCACCCAGCCACTCAGCCCTCCACACCCCCCCAACCAGGGAAGTCTGCAGACCACACTTTGAAAAGAGCTGGTCTACTCAAAAATCTAGAATTTATCCTTTATTCTTCCCTTTTCCTCACCCTCTTGCTCCCCATATCCAACCCATCAGTAAGTACCATTTGTCCTCATTTCCAAAATATATCTCAAACTTGTCCGTGTTCCTCCATTACCACTACTACCCTACAACAAGTTATCATTATGTCTCCACCTGGGAATACAGTAATAGCCTACTAATCAGTCTCTCTTTTTCCACTATCACTCTACAGTGATATTTTTAAAACATAAATCAAATCTTGACACTCCAATTACTCGTAGAATAAAATCCAGACTCCTTACCAAATACTGTAAGTAATCTCCTGTCTACCTCTCCCACATTAGCTCAGTCCAGTCCCTCTCACTAACTGCCTTCCGTCAACACTGAACTCCCTTCTGTTCTTGAAACGTGCTAAATATTTTTTGGCATCAGGGCTTTTGTATTTGCTATCCTCTGAGCCCAGAATCCCTGCACAGCTGGCTCAATTTCAGGCCCACCCTAACCACCCTCTCCAAAGTAGGACCTCTCCCCTGACCCCATTTATCTTTCATATCACACTCTTTTCATTTCTATACAACAATCATAACAATGTGTGATTGCCTTGTTTATTTTTTCCTTGTTTATTGTATATTTCCTCTACTATCACCAACCATATGGTGCTGATGGAAAAATAAAGTTAAAAATGATACCAAGATTTTATGTTGGGGAAACAACACATGTTCGTACCACCATCCAAAGAAGGTAATAGAAGGGAGATAAAAACAAGGTGGGTATCAGGAAGGGCAAAGTACAGGACGGGAATGATAAAGAAAACCTGTCAATTATTAGGAGGAAAACCATATATAAAAGTTTTATAATAGCCAAAATACGCCAATTAGAATCTCTGGGGAAGGGGAATTCAATACACTCCCTTGTAATTCTCAAACCACTTAGTTGTTTACTAGCTAAAGCTTTCTAATGTTATTAAAAATAGTTATTTTCTTAAGCACATTACAGTCCCCCAAATTTTCAAATACTAAAAATATTTTCACATTTATACACAAATTCAGTACACATTAATGTAGGACAATCTTGCCCTATTCTTGTGCATAGCCACATATTATACAGAAAATAAAAGCACAAAATTAGAAGTCTGAATTTCAGATATAAAAGTTAATAACTCAATGACGAAACCACTTAGTTTTAAGAAATCAGGTCCACCAGTGGACTAAATTTTCATTAATTCGTATGGCCCTGGTAAGAATGGTATTAAATAAAATACAATAAATTATATATTATAAATAATAGCACAGTCCTCAATAACACTATATTAGATAATCTTAATTTGAACACTGAAATAATATTACAGCACCATGCCCTAAATGAAAATGCCTTTCCTAGTTTCCATATTTAATAAATTTATAAAATGTCTATAGCTAACATCCTGAGATAATCGTCAGCAAATTAAATCATGCTAAGTGTATACTTTTTCCTTAATATTACTTATTGAACAACTACAGCAAATGTATTCACCTTAGCCAAAATATTAATCAAAATGAGAAGCTTTAATCTACATGTATAGACATCCTCAATGAATTTCTCCTTAAAAAATTTAATACTTTGCAGAAATTTACCTAAAATAAACCAATATACATTACAAAACGTTAACTTGATTCTTGGACAATTATAAAATATAGTATTACAACTTATGTAATAGAACTTTTTAAAAAGATGAAAAATAAAAATATATTTGTAAAAAAACATTTAGTGCATTTTACTTGTGATGATTTCTGTAAAAAAAAAAATAGCCTTTAGACACAACAAGTTTTAAATTATAATTAAAATTAAAGAATATTTAGCTAAAAAAAAGTCCTTCATTCTACATCAAAAATTACTTAATTAAGAAAGACATAAAGACCAATCAATCTCATAATCTTTCAAGTTCAACCTCTAACTTAAAGCTTAAAGTAAATCTAATTTGACTAACTAAGGGTATCCATAGATTCTATTCATTAAAAGAGATCTCGTTTTGTTTACAAATATATATTTTGATAATTCCATTATGCTATCATAGTTTCTCTACAACTAATTCTTGACACAACATGAAATCCTAAACATAAAACTATGTGCATACCAATCTGAGAAGAGAGTTCGGTTAAACAATTTCAGAAGTTTTTATTTTGATATTTCAAAATTCTGAAGAGTAGAAATACAATAGTCCCAACTTGTCAATAGTTTCTTTTTCTTAAAGTTTCCTTTCAATCTTCAAGATTTTTGATAAAATCTTCAATATTCCTTCTATTTATATGTAACTTTTAAATATTCTACAAGAGAATATTAGTTAAGACATTTCACTGACTAAAACAACCATAACTTATAACAATATAGAAAGAGGATCAAATGTATTAAAATAGCAATACTACTCCTGCCCAAAAGTTACTAACTTAGCTATATGTATACAAGACACCTAAAAAATGAAAGGGTATCATGGTAATTTTAGGGTGGCTGATACTTGAATACTCAAATGCATAACCAAATATTTTTCTTGGCCCCAAGTCACCATTCAGCAGGAATATTCCTGACCTCACCCTTCTGTCTCCATTTAACCGACTGAGTCATCCAGTATTTCCCATAATCAAGCAAGTGACATGTGTATATCAAACAACACAAAGAAAATTAAGCCTAAGTGCTTAGTGTTGACAGTTCATTCTTACATACCTGTGTTATCATGAGTAAGTTTTTAAGAACTTACTATCAGATCTTTGAAGAGAACGATGAATGTTTCTAAACACATTAAACTAAACTAGCACCAACCTTCGTTTCTAAAGCCATTCTCCACTTAAAGGAATCAGTGCTCTTTGGAGTAATGGCTGGTTCCAGGGTGGGAGCTGGGAAAGAACAAGCTGAGCCTGAAACATCTGAAAATAAGGTAGTGCTCAAAGAACAATGTGGACATGTCAAAAGGACATGAAAGCCAGCTTTAATGGGTTCCCACTGGCCACATACAGGACAATTTGAGAGTAATGAATTATAACTCATCAAATAAAATACAAACTCATGAGTCCATAAAGATATAAATTAATAAATAGTGGGAAAGGGGAAACTATTTCTTACAAAAGAATGCCCCCTAATTAAGAAAGGATGATGGAATTTAAAAATCAATATTTGTGAGTCATCAGAGAAATAATTGACTCACGCAAGAATTATCAATGAATGCTAAATTAGTGGAGCAAATTATTTACCGTGTCTCCAAGTATTTCCCCGACAAAAATAAATAAATAAATAAATAACCTATTATTTACAACAAGGAGGAAAAGAGTAATTTTTCAGTAAAGAACCTGGCAGACGTCAACAAATAATCAGAGTTAACATCACTAGTAAATGGGACATTCAGGTATCATGTGCCTCCAAACATGATGCACTTAGAAGAAAACACCACTTCTGTGATATTACTGCCGAAAACAAACCCTGATTTTTTTAATTTGTAATTGACAAATAAAAATTATATATATTTACTGAGTACAACATGATTTTTGAAATATACATCGTGAAATGACTAAATTGAGCTAATTAACATATGCATTTCCTCACATATTTTCTGTGCTGAGAACACTTAAAGTTTACTCTACTAGCAATTTTCAAGAATGCAATATACATTGTGCACTTATAGTCACCATGTTTTATGATAGATCTCTTGAGCCTATTTTTCCTAACTGAAATTTTGTATCCTTTGATTCCTCCACCTACTTCTCACCCCCACTGCTGGTGACCACCATTCTACTCTCTACTTCTACAAGTTCAACTTTTTTAGATTCCACGTATAAGTGAGATCATGGAGTATGATTATTTGCTTTTCAATGCATGGCTTATTTCACTCTACAAAATGTCCTCCAGGTTCATCTGTGATGTCACAAATGACAGGATTTCATTCTTTTTTATGGCTGAATAATATTCTATTGGGTAGATATTCCACATTTTCTTTATCCACTCATCCACTGATGAACACTTAGGTAGATTCCGTATCTTGGCTATTGTGAATAATGCAGCAATGAACAACGGGAGTGCAGATATCTCTTCAACATACTGATTTCATTTGCTTTGGATATATACCCAGAAGTAGGATTGTTGGATTCTATGGTAGTTCTATTTTTAATTTCTTAAGGAACCTCCATACTGCTTTCCATAATGGCTGTACTAATTTATATTCTCTTTAATCCACATCCTCACCAACACTTTCTTTTGTCTTTTTTATAACAGCCATTCTAATCGATATGAGGCAATATCTCTCTGTGTTTTCAATATACATTTCTCTGATAATTAGAGATGTTGAGCATTTTTTTCACATAACTGTTGGCACAAATCCTGAATTTAATCATGAAGAAACATCAGATAAACCTAAGTGAGGGACATATCTATAAAATAACTGTCCTATCCTCTTCAAAACTGTCACTGTCTTAAAAGGCAAAGAAACACTGACAACC